TGGGACTAGAACTCACAGTCTCCTGGTGATTGGACCAAAGTCACCCAGCTGGCTTTCATGGCTAAAGTGGGCCTAGAACTCCTGGTCTCTTACATTCAGAGCAGTTGAAAGGGGGTTCCTTCAAATTGCCTTGACAGTTTAGACCAGGGGTTGACAACCTTAAACACTCAAAGAGCCACAAAGGTCCTATCAGGAACCCCCCCCTCCCCCAATTCAATTCTGGAGTCGACCAGAAGTCTGGTTCCCCCACCATAGAGTCTTCTCCTAGCATGGCGTCCTTCTTCCTCTGCTGACCAAAAGTCCGGTTCCCCCACCATAGAGTCTCCTCCTAGCACGGCGTCCTTGTTCCTCTGCTGACCAGAGGTCCGGTTCCCCCACCATAGAGTCTCCTCCTAGCACGGCGTCCTTGTTCCTCTGCTGACCAAAAGTCCGGTTCCCCCACCATAGAGTCTTCTCCTAGCATGGTGTCCTTTTTCCTCTACCTGTCCTAATCGGAAGCCCTATCAATTGTGGCGCCAACCGGCAGCAGGGAGCCACAGTAGAGGGTGAAAGAGCCACATGCGGCTCCAGAGCCTCAGATTGCCTGGTTTAGACTAAACCAGGTATGAGGCTCCAGATGCAGTTTGCCATTTAAATTTTTGGGACTTTGCAATTTAAAATGTAATAAACTAAACTCATGTTCCACCTAGCTATGAATTTAGGGCCACTAGGAGTTGCACAACAAATCTTTGGAAATGTTGGACTGAATAGTCTTAAGGCCCAACCCTCTTATTGTGTGATTTTGTAGATCTGGAGAGAAAATCACGGTGACCCCATCCTCTAAAGAGCTTCTTTTCTACCCTCCTTCCATCGAAACCGTGGTCAGTGGTGGTAAGTCTTGGCAGTCATTCCGCAGTATTTCCAAGGCATCTCCCAAGTGGGGACAGCAGGGAATCAGGAAAAAAATATAATTCCTTCTGCTAGAAATAAGAAAGAATGATCACTCGTTAAAGTGGAGAGTGTGAGTCCCCCAAACCCAAGAAAGACAAAGAGTTACCGTATTTTTCGGAGTATAACACGCACCAAGATTTTAAAGAGGCAAATTTAAAAAAAAAAGTTTTTGCACTCTGCAGACCTCCACAAAATGGCCCGTTTTTCACAAAAATTGGCCCATTTTTTACCCCAAAGAAGGGCATGCATGGCCTTTAGGAGGCTTATAGAGTTCTCCTGGGGGCTGCGGGAGGGGCAAAAACAACCAAAAAACGGCCCATTTTTCGCTCAGTCTTGCCCTCCCCACCCCCAGGAGCATTCTGGAAGCTGCCTAAAGGCCATTTTTGCAAAGGGGTTGGGGTTTCGGGTGGCTAAAAATGCTGTATTCAGTGTATAAGACACACCCAGATTTTCACCCGCTTTTTTGAGGGGAAAGTGTGTGTTATACTCCAAAAAATATGGTACTTCTAAGCAGCTTCCTTGATTGTTCCTCAACTGACAGACGGATTCTTGCCAAACTGAAGCAGATTATTTGCACCTTTAAAGATATACTCCAGAGAACTCCCAAACAGTCTTAAGTCCAACCCTCCTTGAATTCCACTCTTGCCTGGCACCAATTTAGTGCTGACCATTAGTTGACTAGATTCTTGGGTATACAGTAGCGGCCAAAATTGTGGAAACCGCAATTCTGATCTAGAACTACTGTAAGTTTTTGCAACTTCCTCACCCATCGTTCTCCCCGCCTTTTTTTTTTTCTCTCAGAAAGCTGTCCTGGGAAGCTGATAGAGATATACGGCAAAGCGGGTCTCTTCCTGGAAGGGCAGATTCACCCCGAATTGGAGGGAGTTGAGATCATCATTTCTGAAAAAGGAGCGCCTTCCCCCCTGATCACGGTTTTCACAGACGACAAAGGGTCCTACAGGTAAATTCTAGTCCAGGGGGTTCGACTAGAGCAGTAGTCACCAACTGGTGGTCCGTGAGAAAATTTTGGTGGTCCACAGAAAAATTCCTTGCATTTTTCATATTGCACTAAATCAGGGGTCCTCAAACTACGGCCCCTGGGATGGATGCGTGCAATGAACGTTTGTGTTGCTGCAGAGAGTCTCCCCCTTTGGGGTCTTTTTGTGTGGGTCGGAGGGGGGAGAAGGAAATTCCAACTGGGGTCTGCTCCAGCCTCCTGGCGAGGGGCTTTGGGTGAAGGCTGGAGGGAAGCACTGCTGGTGGCGAAGAGCCGGAGGGCCTCGTTCCAGTGGGGCTGCATCATGGCCTGGAATTGGCTGACCATCTCAGCCCGCTGAGCCTCTAGGCGCCAGTACCTGGCCTTGCTCTCCCGCAGATCTTCCCTCTGCTTGGAAATGCTCGTAGTCCTCAGTGAGATGCTTCTGCTGAGCCTCCTTCTCGGTCAGATCCAATTGGAACTGAGATGTTTTGCCAACTCTTTCTCCTGGTGGCTGCTTAGCTCCAACAACTGCTTCCTATTGGGGCCCTAAAGTGCCTGGGCGGGCAGGGGAGGGGCGAGTAGAGGCCGGTGAGGCGCCCCTCGATGTGAGTGAAATCAAGTTGGCCACACCCACCCAGTCACATGACCACCTAGCCACTCCCACCCAGCCAGTCATTAGGCAGATCATATTAGTGGTCTGCAGGATTTAAAATTATGAATTTAGTGGTCCCTGAGGTTCGAAAGGTTGGTGACCCCTGGACTAGAAGACCTCCAAGATTGTTTCCAACACAATTATTCTGTGTTCATAGATGGTAGTAGTTGATATTCCTTCCCCTTCAACCATTACCAAATGTGTCCTTTAGACCAGGGTTCCCCAACCTCCCCATCTGTGAACCGGCACTGGTCTGTGGCATGCCTGAAATCGGGCCGTGGAAAATACTGGATTATGCAGAGATGGATAGATTGACATTGAAAATAAAAGATAAAAGGAGATACAGAGTATTATTTAACATGGAATTGGTTTTTATCAATGGTTAGTGATAAGAGGTAGAAATTAGGTGAAGAAAGAACATTGTTATGTGTAAGTAAAATATGAATGTTGTTTATGGCTATAAGTATTCTAATATAATTAATAGGATCATAGATAAGCTAATGTAATTATAAATATGGTTAGAATCATTATGTGTATTATTCTTATTATTACTATCAGTATATCTTACTTTTTTTTTCCTTCTGTAAAATGAAATGCCCAGACAATATACTGTATTCTGTATATGTGTGTGTGTGTGTGTGTGTATGTATGTATGTATGTATGTATGTATGTATGTATGTTCTGTCCCCCCTTCACGGCTTGAGAACAAACGCAGGCAATTAAACTTAAAAGGAACTTTTCTTTATCAGTTCACAGTTCAAACTGGCTTCAAGCCCCCAAAATAACATAAATACAAGTCTTTGACCAGATAACGTAATGAAAACAAATCTTTCTTACAGC